CACTCCATCCTGAGACCAGTACAGTAACAAGTCTGCTGACGTCTCATCATTCTCAGATTCTAATAGAAGATAAGGTGAAATGGAGGAACGGGGGTCTGTCTTTGCAGGTATTTGCAAAATGAATATGGTCTGCAGACTTCAAGGGCCTCATTCTTTATGTGTGAGGTCCCAGGGGCCAGGCCAAAGGTTGATCGCCTCTATGTGCCAGATAATGGGCTTGACATATATTGTCACATCTAGTCTTCTCGCATGAGGACTGAGGTGGATATTATGCAAGCCACAGATGATCACTTTGAGGTCTCTTTAGATCAGAGAATCCATTCTATTTTCAGAGATTTTCTGGCTTTTGGATAATTCTACCTTTCAGAAAAAAAAAAAAAAAACTTAGCTCCCATGTTCACTTTGGCCTGCATCTACACTTGAAGTGGCAGAGATATGTATTTAAGCCAATTAAGCATATTTTAAACATATATTAAGCAAAGACTTGACACTGTGTTAGGAGTTATGTATGCAAAGGTGAATACAACATGGGCTGAACTGTGCCCTATTCACATGGTGAAGTCCTAACCTTCAGTACTTTGGAATGTGACCTTATTTGGAAAGAGGGTCATGGAAGATGCTATTAGTTAAGATGAGGTCATTCTGGAGGTGGGGGTAGTGGGGGGAAGACTAATTCAATATGACTGGTGTCCATACAAAAAGAATGCCATATGAAAAGACAGACACACACACAAGTAGAGTGCCATGTGAACATGAAGGCAGAGACAGGGGCAAAGCATCTACAAGCCAAAGAACACCAAAGATTGCCATCAAGCCAGTGGAAGCTAAGAAAGAGGCATGGAAAGATTACTTCTGATAGCCCTTGGAAGGAATCAACCCTGCTGACACCTTTATGTTAGACATGTAGCTTCAAGAATTGTGAGACATAAGCTTCTGTGGTTTAAGCCACTCAGGTTGTAATAATTTGTTATGACAGTGCTAGCAAACTAATACACTAATCCCAATCAACTGAGAGAGAGATGAAAATAGTATGTTATAGTGTGATGAGACTAATAGAGATATGTATGAGAAATGGATGCAGGACAGAGAAGAGAGTGGCTGGCTGTGAGATTTGTGGAGGTGTATGCAGGAGGTGTATGCAGGTGCTGGTTGCATAGTGGAGGTATTGCTTGAGCTAGGTTTCGAAAATTGAAAATGGTCAAGACTGGGCTCTCTATCTCTCTGGTGGTTATGGAATTCACAGATAAAACAAATGTTACCCCCTATTTCCTCTTAATTTTTGGTGGGAGCTGTGCAAAGAGGCTGTAGCAGATATGGAAGCAAGCAGGTGGCTTTGGGACCTGACAGTAGCCTGGGGTAAATAGCCTGTTATCTTGCACTAATGGGTGTCATTCCATTTCCCTCCCCCACCCCTTGGCAGCAAACCTTTGTTCTCTCCTTTCTTTTTCCTTTTGAGTAAATATGTTTACTACCCAGAAGAGAACAGGGAAGGAATAGACCAGTTGCCTGGGGGCAGATGGTGCCATATTAACACATGACACATAGAAAGCTGAACTCCTCAGCTCCTAATTTTCTTTTACATTCTCCAGCAAGGCTCTCCAAACTAAATAGTATAAAATAAACATCATTAAGAGGAAATTAAAACACAAATCAATGAAAGAGATAGTAAGGAATCTACTGATTTAAATGATTTCATGTATTCAGATTCAAGTGAATTACACACAAATAATGAAAGAACTTGCAGAAATGACCAATGAACCACTGAGGATAAATTATTTTCAGTTTCTTTTTTTTTTTTAAAGAAATTCTGGATTATATAAAATGTGCCTGAAGCTTAGAGAACAGATATTGCTCTTATATTCAAAAAAATTTAAAATATAAATTCACAGAAAATACAAGTTCATATTGATTTACTTCAAACTTTTTTTTTTTTTTAACTTATCCTCAATACACATACAAAGAGGAAACGAGGGAGGAAGAGGCAGAAAATGAGAAAGAGAGTTTGAAAGACAGAGAAAGGGGCAGGGGGAGAATAGAGTAGGAAAGATGAAGAAGGGAGAATGAAAAATTCATTAGATTTATGAAAATTACCTTAAATTTGCAGAATATACACAACTCAATTTGACGATAGTTATGACCTCAGTAATCCTGCGAAATTTCAGAACGAGCTATTAAATCAACTTGATGTATGCCTTGACAAAATAGAGGAGATGACTAATAAAAACCAGAGAAGGTTAATTAAGAGAAAAATCACACTAAACTTGGAGATTCCTTCCTCTCTTCCTCTCCAATTTCCTTTGCCTTGTGTTTTCTCATTTCCCCAGAGTGAAATCTACACCCATTTCACCCCCATATGCAGCACCACTCACATTATACAGAAGGTGATGGTCTCCAAGTTCTACACATTGTTCCCCAGAAGCTCATCCTAGCAGGAGAACAGGCGGGGCTGGTGGTGGTTTCTCAGTCAGTCCCTGGGTTGTATTTCCCATTCTCCAAGTTTCTCATTCTAATGCCTCCTTCCTCTTAGTACTCACAAATCCTGAGCTTCTGAGTTAGCCACTTCCCCCTTTTTCCTTTTCTGAGAATCTTCCTAGTACTTTTGCCCATCCAAGAACCTGCTTTTTTCTTGCTTTTGTCAGTTTATTTCTCTTAAGGTCTGTATCCTTGATTGATGGGTCGGACCAGGAAACTTCTGAGCAGTGCACCCTCAGATGTACAGTCTTAATGGACTACACCTGTTTTAGATTCTCGTT